TATTAAAGCAATGTAAATACAGACTTTCAAAATTGATTATCATCCTCTTCGTGTCTGTCTCCTTACATCTCAATCTGTATCACTCCCATTCCATATCACTTATTTCTAAGGTTTTTAATCTTAATTCTATGGAAAGCCAGGAATCAACGGATAAACTCAATTAGCTCTTAAGAAATTGCATGATAATACTTACAGATGTAGCATATAAACATGCTGGGATAAATACATTGAGAATTATTCATTATCGTAGAGAGAGGATTGGAGTTAGTCATAAACAACTTCTTTCTCACTCACTACGGTAGGATATCTATTTTATGTGCCGAAAAATTGGTTTCTTTATCATTATTAATATCTTTGTTTTTTCAAGGCAAATTCAGGTTTCCTTCAGATTTTGCATTTTCATACTATTACTTTTTTATCATCGGCTAGTTTCATTTTTGAATAGGTAATCTTGAATGAGAGCCGTACTTTATTAGTATGAGTAGAAGGATTGTCTGCCAGGATAAAATCTAATATTTGTCACAATAATCCTAATTATCATTATTATTAGAACTATAAAAACACATAGTTAGGCTCATAATAAAAATATAGCATTGTTAAATTGGCATTGCATTAGTCAATCGTTTAGCGAACTAATCTGAATTGAGTAAAAATTTCTATTTTTCCATCGAAGTTCACATGCTTGCACCTCAAAAATTCCTTCGCATCTGATTTTCAATGAAATTTCGCTCCATTCCGCAGCTTCAACTCAATTCTCCTCCTTATATAGCTCATATTATTCTACGTTTTTATGCGATACCTGGATGAATACTTTGCACTTTGTTCGCATGGTAAGGAAAAGATGGATAAATTTATCAACTTTCTGAACCGATTTTGATGAAAGAATCAAATTCACATTGGAGGTGGAGAATAATAAATGACCATCTCTCCTCGATGTTAAGGTCGTTTGTTCCAACGGGAAACGCAGGATTAGACTATCCAGAAGAAAATCGCATGCGGAAATAATCCCCAATTTCTAGTCTAATCGCAACTACAGACTGAAGATTAGAATAATATTGTAGTTTGATTATTAGAAGCTTAAGCCTTTGGACATCTAGTTCTGGGGCGAAGAATTGAATAAACTGACCTTGACTTTTCTTAGTAATGGGTATCCCAGATAATTTATAGAAAGAAATATAGGGGTCATAAAGATCAGATTTCAACTTGGATTTTATGAAACTAGGATCATAAATTAGAAGGACAACGAAAAGTGAAATGTCTGTCCTCCCGTGAAATGAGTCAAAAGTTGCGACCGTCAATAATAAAATGTAATATTAAGGTTATAGCAAAGGAAAAAAGAACACTTCGCCAGCCTGCCGATGCAACACGAGAAGTTCGAGAAACTGGATTGCTCGGGAGTTTATCGCATCAAATGCGGCAAATGCGAGCAGAAGTATATTGGTGAGACAGGAAGGAAAATCACCCTACGAATCAAGGAACATTGAAGACTATGCAGAAACATGGATAAAGAAAGATTCGAAACAGTTGAACACATTGCATGGACAGGACACGCAATAGACTAGAAATAAACAGAAAGACTCATTGCATGTATGAAAAATACAAAAAGACCCAAAATCCTAGAGGATATCGATATTTTGATTAAAATAAATCTTATCAGCAGGAGATTTAAAGAAAGCAGGATTTGCAAAAACATTACTTCTTACCTAAACAAACTCAAGCAAGAGCAATCAATAGCAGGCTCAGCAAAAAAAGAAGACGATTAGGTAAACGAAAAATTTTTAATAGGAAATAGACAAATCAGAATATGAGTATAAAGGAACAAGAAAAAATCAAGAGGATACGTCTACAGTGAGCTTAATCATGGCAAGTTAAATCACTATATTTGGAGATTGGTACACAAGAGAATAGGGAATAGGAACTTATATGTTTGGCATTATCGATAGAGACAGAGGATAGTTGGCTAAGAGTAGGCATATTTAATCAAAAATGTGGTACGTGATGTGAGGGATTGACAATGAAAATTACACAGTGTGATGCTGAATGGTGATAAGGGGATATATAGCCTCAAGTTAGTTTCCCATCCAGCTTGGATATCCAGACTTTGGAGACCTGCTCAGTGAGGCAAGATTATACGTGCCCTCAAAGGCCTAAGGCATAGTGTTGTAAATAATGCCTCGAGTAGCACAGATATGGTGGCAGCGGTCGAATGAACTCCATGAACCAGGAAGATTAGAGACAGATCCTACAGAGTAAGAGGAAGACTTTACTAGCACCTAGGGGAAGAGAATTGCGGACTAATAGGACAGACTCGGATTAACATTCATAGCACAGAGGGGGGGGATAAGGAAGCCAGTGGTGAGTATAAATAGGTCTCACGAAATCCGTCTAAAAGGGTATTCCAGAACCAAGTTTAACTAAGCAAGTAAGGAATTATGATAAGGAAGAAGTGTTACGAGGATATAGGATAATGGAATACACCAGGACAGAAGGTAATGGTCAATAGATTGACTTCACTTGTCTCTTTGACGAGTTGTAGTTTCATGCTAGGACTGACAAGGCTCTTTAACGATGCCTACTACGACGCCGGCGAAACATCTGGGAATGTACCAAGTACTAGGTCTGACTCTGGAAAGTATCATGCATTTTATGGACCCTGGTCAAGCTGCATCCATCTTGGTCATCCTGACAATACGACCAAGTTATGGAAACAAGATCAGACAACTTTTATTATACATTCGTAGATAAGAAGATCAAGATGGTGTGGCCTTCTATTTGGTCGCAGTCTCTGTTAGCCTTATATTGCTGGTTCAACTGTGTTTGCGCAACTTGGTTGCAGCGTCAGTTAGACCTTATGGGACGTACCTAGTCCTGTGTTCTCTGCCAGAGTATTCGTGATTTCCAGGTTCGGAGCATTGACTCGGTACATTGCCAAAGGTTTCTCCAGCATCGTCAGTGAGAGGCGCCACCGTTAACACAGAGTTACAGCTTATTGAGGTGAAAAGTTGTAGCTATGTGCTATCGATGGCGCCTCTCAATGACGATGCTGGCGAAACGTTTGACAATGTACCAAGTCAATGCTCTGAACCTGGAAATCACGAATACTCTGGCAGAGGACACAGGACTAGGTACGTCCCATAAGGTCTCCCTAACGTGGCAACCAAGTTGCGAGAACAGGGTCGAACCAACACCTTATTATAAATTGTGATTTAGTATACTTTAGGGGGCATGATTCTGCTTCCAATTATTTTGATTAGCAGAGCGTACTCTCTATCTCCCTCTCGAGGGCCTGTAAAGAGTTTTCAAAATACTTTATTAAGGTCAAAATTTACCAGCTAAATTCTAATTTTAAGTCCAGAAACTAAAAATATTCAAACCACAATTCCTAAGTTTAGCATTTCACTTATCTGGCCAACAAGTATCACACTACTTTAAGCCGAAAATGTCATTTGCAAATATTTGTGTTGATTAAAGTTAGTTTTATAGCCTATTGGTAAATTTTGAATAAGAATTCTAGTAACTCTAGATCGCATAAGGTGGTCAAGGAATTTAAATACTCAAAAAAATTTATAATAATATAAGTGGCCCTTACAATTTTATTAATTTCCTCTCTGACTTCCTTCCAAAAAGGTCTTTTCATCCAGGGTAAGCTGGGTCTGGGTTTTATAAGTACCTCAAACGGGGATTAAACTCAAGTAGTACGGTATTCATTTTCGACACATCACCAGCATGTAACACTGCCATGGGACGTCTGAAAATGTACCAAGTCCATGGTCCAACGCCTGGAATTATCATAAATACTATAGCGAATGACTTCGGGCAAGATGCGTCTAACTAGATTGCCTTGACAGTACAACCAAGCTGCGAAATCAATGTCAGACCACTCCTTTCTTGTCCATGTTTTTGCAGAGTCTTTGATATCCCTTGATTCGTAGGTTGATTTTTCATCTTGTTTAACCAAAATATTTCTGCTCACAATATCTGCATGTTGTGATAGACTCTTTGGAGATCTAGTTTGCTCATATTCTCGTACTGGAATGCTCTGCAGAAACGTGGGTACGGGAAAGTCCGAAAGACGAAGCACATTACACGTACAAGACACGAAATCGACTGTAAGGCGACAGAAAGAGGGCTGTATGTAATGAAAATAGAAGTAAGCGCAAGATTCGAGAGGCCACTGATGCCCTGATTGAAAGAAATATAATAAACAGGATATTGGAGGAAGGAAGAATTGACAAAATTTTTGCGTCTTGCTTAAGAAAACTCATGAGAGAACTTGAATATCAAAATCAGCAAATAGAGGACTACTAGACCAAGGAAGTATTTTGAACATGAAAAAGAGTAATTTCAAGGAGGAGGCCACCGAGGAACAATCGTAAATCAAGAGGAGATTTCTGCACTCGGCCTAATCAAGGCAAGTACGTAGCTATTACATTTAGGGGTTGATACACAAGAGTTCAAATCACTTTTATATAGAGATTGTTTGAAGCATATTTGTATTTTGCTATTATAATAAACATTATTACTTATATTTGTAGAAAGTAGGTAGTATTAACGCGGTAGTCACACAATGGAGCTGTGGCGTTGTCGAAATATTTTTCATATCATTACCCTAAAGGAAATTATATGTAGTAGTAATATTTCTATCCGGATTCGATTCCAATTGAGGGTGTTGATAAGACCCTGTCCGGGTCAAAATTTTAATCATCCTGGATGTTAACACTTTTCTAGAAGCAAGGCTAAGTGAAATTTAATAAGATCGTCAGGCTTATTAATATAATTATAAGGAAATTCAACTAACAGTCCTTCCCCTTTTTGTCCAACCTAGGGTGACTAGATCTCTTATTCAAAATCATTTGAAAATCTACTTTATATGAATATAAGGAATTTAATCGATTGCAATGGCAATGTATTAGTTTCCATCATTAGCAATCCCACTTGAAATATGATATCCGAGATGCCTGGCTTGCCTTAAAATCCATATCTGCTATTCGTGGTAGTGTGGCGAAGTTTTAATCAATCGAAAATAATTGCTGCACTACACGAGTTCAATTCTCACAGTTTTAATGAGGCCCAGTAGAGTTAGAAACTGAACCCTGGATAAAGCTAACTGTTGATGTTAGGTAAAATTGAGTAAAATCTTATAGCATATTCATTTCATTGTTGAAAAATCCAGGTATCAGTCGTTAACCTCCTTATCTTACCTACCATGAATATAATTCTTCTTCAAATTTTTACTCTTCTTACTATCCTTTCTTCTATTAACTTTCTTTAACTGAGAATTCTATTTAACCTTATTTATTTCAACCTGTATTGCTTTTCTTAATCTTGAACTTCACGATTTCATCAAGTTGATCTAACGAATGTCAACGGCTTAAAACTTTGCGATTCCACTCGCCGAATCAATAGGCTCTTTCGACTAGCCGTTGCTTCTAGACGCCGTCATGCTTTCCGAAACTCCATATCACCACCTACTCTCGGGATTAAGGCTACAACGGCTCGATCAGATTTAAGCGATTGTGACAATAGCTCTGGCTTTTCTGGCTATCGAAGCCTTGATTCCCACGTTGCTTGTCTGGTCGTCGGAGAGACCGTAAAGGCAGTTCCGGATGATGAGGATGACGACGACGATGATGATGAGATGAGCTCGGATGAAGAAGATGAAGCTGAGGATGGAATAGCTGAAGAGGGAGATCATTATAAACTCGGGTGCCTCACAGACTGGGCAGAGAGCGAAGAAAATTCTAATTCGGGCGGAATCATTGATTCTTATTATTCCTCAATAGCCTCTCACCAAGCGCCTCTGCTGAATGACGCTTCATTGAATGACCATTCTTCTCATCATTTGGCGGACGGTAATAGCAGCAACTGTGGCAGCAATAGCGAGGCAGCCAGTATCGAGGAAACAGGTCCACGCAACGCTGTACGCCGAGTGTTGTGCGATCTCTTTTCTTCGCCGGAGACCTCTGATCTCGTATACCGCAATGATGTTGACGTCATTGTGGATGTGATCAATCGATACATTTGTGATCTTCCATCAGACTCCTTGGTGAGTAGAATTAAATGACCGTTTCGGCTGTCCGTGCGAATTAAACCGCTTTTGGAGTTTAAATTTCTTTGATAGTCTGCGATAATATCATTGGAATAAAAGTTTGGCTATCGATTACTTTGTATAACCGACTATGCAATCGTTCTATATTGCTTCAACAACACTATATTCACTAGGGTGCATTGTGAATCTAATTTTTTGACTAATTTGCATTCCCATATTGTTGCAATAAAAAAAAAATTTTTTTTGCGGATACGAAAATTAATTGGATTTTGATGAATTTCTTGAGATGAAATTGTTAGGGAGACTTTCATTTCTAATAAAAATGCATGAAAAATAGATTCGAAAATCGATCTCATCATAGCAGGGTGGCTAATTCCCGTTGTTCTGCAGCTGTTTGGCTATAAAATGACGTTAAGATTGACTCAGTTAACGAGACATCCTCCCTCGTTTTGGGTGAAGACAGGCTGAGCTTTCGTCCATATTCTGATGGACATCATCGGAGCTGGAGCTCATTCTTGTGAAAGTCTCACATTAACATTAGATCAAGACCTATTTTTCATATTAAAGTAGAGTTTCGACACTACCAGTAAATCAGTAATATGCCATGTATTCACTCTATTTCATTTAAAATTATGAAGGACTGGTAGGAGAATTTTCCCACAATGATATGAGTATAGCCTTACTTTTCCAAAAGTTTTTCTAAACCGGGATGGACTGCAGTTTCGACCTCGCATCAGTTTTATCAG